AGGCAGCCGTTTGCCTCGGGGTTTCGGCAGGGCGGGGGCTCCCTGGGGGGTTCCCCGTGGGGAGAGGGGCCTGCGCTGGAGGGGATCTTGGCTCTTGGGATGTCGGACGGGGCTGAAGGGGGTGCGGGCGGGTGGCAGGCTGGGGTGTGGCTCCCTGGCAACTAATTCCCCGATGGAAATGCTCCCTCTAGCCATGTGAACCCCTGTACGAGGGGATTAGAGGGGCAGGTCCCTTCCCAAAGCCCTTCAGGCCAAGGCTGTGACGTTCTTCATCAGGATGGACAAGCACAGGGTACCCTCGCATCCGGCCGCAGCGAGCTGCGAAGCCACCGGTTATCCCACCGTAGCACTGTGGGAAAATCACGTCTGATTAGAGGCTCCCAAAACAGGTTTCCTGGGCCCTCAACCCCCCATGCCCGGGGTACACTACGTCCACGTGACGGCAGGAACGTGGTAACACAATCCAGGCCTTGAGAAACGTCCCTGGTGTGGGCAGAGGCTGGAGGACAGAGCCAGCGTTGCTGAGTGGGTGCAGAAGCCGTGCTAAGGGCAGGGATCAGCGGAGCAGCTCCTGAAAAACTGGGTGTAAATGGGTCAAACCGAAGAGAAAGCCCTGGCTGTCAGCTCCGCTCCGGCTGGGAGCTGCGAGCGTCACACAGGCACGTAACCACCGCTCGAGGTGACAAACCCACGCACGGAGTAGGTGTCTCCAGTACCTGCAAGCTTCCCTGCGCTCTCCACAAATAGAATCGTAAGCAGCTTTGGCCACGGGTCATCTCCAGCCTCCCACTGCCCACACGCATCGCTCGCCTTTTCCTGCCCAGGCAGGAATGTGGCTGCTCCCTTATTTTCCTCCTCGAAACAAGTGCCGCCCGCTCCGAGCAGCGCATAGCCCGTTGTTTCAGCCTGTCACCCGGCTTTTCAAACCAAAGGAGAGATTTCGAGTTAAAGGTTATTTGCCACACAGAAAGCACGACAGATCCAGTGGATTTCTCAAAACTGGTACACGTAACCCTGAGTGGGATGATCTTGCTTTTATACACAGCGCTGGGCTGCTGGGGAAACAGTTCAATGTGTGGGAATCGGTAGGGAAAAGGAAATGTGGAGCAGGGGGGAATTAAAAACTTCTGATTCCTTGTCCCGGGAAGCCTCCAGGGACAGGCAGGGCAAACCACGAGGACGATAGCTTTGCTGCAAGCCGGCGTCCAGCATCGGGAATGAGAGCAGCGAAGCCACATGCCGGGTGCTCTGCCTGCAGCCTGCCCTATTTCACAGCTGGCACTTTCCTAACCCCGCATGTCGCAAGTGGCTCCGTGCAGCTGGGCTAAAGGCCAGAGCCACGGTGGGAGCTGGCACCCGCCCTGCCGTCATTTAGCCTCCCAGTTGCCAGCCCCAAGGAAAGTTCAGCCTCCCCTTGCCTAGGAGGGCAGGCAGGAACAGCAGAAACCTTCATCTTCCTCCATAGAAAGGAGAGGGGGGAAAAACCCCCAAGAGAGGTAGACTGTGTCAGGGCACAGTGTATTTTTACTCCGTGGCGGGGAGACGTCGGATATGAAGCACTGTGCTCAGCAGTGACACCCCTGGAGAAGGCTGGGATGCTGAGTCCCTTTTTCCCCTCTAAGCCCCTTCCCCTCAAGCTGTTTCATTTGCAGCCATTTATTAAAAGCTCATGTTAGTAAGAGCTCTTGCTGCTGGGTAAGAGCGTTACACTGGGCTCTGCAGCAGAACTTTTCATTCCTAATAGATGCCTAAATCCTAATAGATGCCTATCCCTGAAAACTCCACATCTGTGGGAAGTGACCATCACATAGCATCATTCTGGCCAGCGACTCACCCTCTCCCACGCTCATTTACGTGCACTTAACATATCTGGGAACAAAACATGGAACAAGCTCCAGTTGTCAGGAGAAGCTGGCTGCCCGTCCCTGAGCACAGCACCGCAGCACCCGCTGCCCAGTGCTCTGCCCCTGACCTGGACCCCACAGCAGGCAGCATCCCACCCAGACAGGTCTCAGCCTCTCCCTCCGTCACCCACCTGGGACAATCTCCTCGGGGAAGACTCATGAGTGCAGGATTTGGCTTTTACTGGCCCTGGCCTCGAGGACGAAGCCTTGGAGCCTCTCTTGCCTGGTGGTGCTCCCATGGGAAGTGCCACAGAGAACGCAGGGCTGAGCAGAGTGTCCCCTGGCCGATGGGATGCTGCGGGCTGCAGCATCGAAGGGGTTAGAAACACACTGTGGTATTTGGCTGTCCGGAAAAGCAGTGGGGAAACAGTGCTCTTCTGCTCCCTTCTCATCTCAGTGGTGCCTCAGGGAGCTGCAAGAGCTGTCAAGGTTTCTCTGAGCAGCTCCCGGTGGTCCGACCACGTCATCCAAAGGTGCGGGGGGAGCAGAGCCCCAGTGCCTGGTCCGTGAGCACCTTCTCTGCTGTGCAGGGCCCAGGATCTGCAGCCACAAGAAAAGCCCGGATGCTCTGTTAGTGTGGGCCCTCCACGCAAGGCACTGAAACAGCCATGTTCACTATCCACTGCGTTTTGCTGTCCCCCTCCACGGGCTTGGGCCTGCTCATCCCCCAGACCCTGCAGGGAAGGGGGCTATTGCTCCTTTTCCCGCTGCACATCCCGGCTGGACTTGAAGAAGTCACTACGCAGCAGGCGGTAGAAAAGGATGATGTTCATGGGCGTCATGATTGCCATGCCCACCGTGCCTACAGCGTACGTTGCTGGGGGCACGTTCTCCCGATTGAGGAAGAGCCAGCGAGTCATCCAGGCCAGCGTGGCGATGCGAAACACCACGTAGGTGCCCAGGTTGATGATGCTGTTGAGGCGATAGCAGGTGGTGTGCACCAGGTTGGCCATGAGTAGGATCTGCCGCAGGTGAAGGAAGATGGAATTAATCTCCACCAGTAAAGCCACAAGGGCAAACCCAATGTACTGATGGAGCAGCACTGCAATACCAAAGCAGACAATCACCTGGGAAGGAGAAAGAAGAGAGGCTGAGCCCGGGAGCTGGTCGCCCTCAGCTGCTGCAAGCCGGAGCCCTCCATGCTTGGGCGCAGCGTGGAGCAGAGGTGGAAATGGTTATCACGCCAGTGTCAAACCGCTGGTCATCACCCCACACATATCTCTGCAGCATTGCAGCCTCCAGCCAGCACTGCAGCCTCGGGCACGAGATAAAGCCTCCCCACTGTTGCATGAAACCTGAGCAGGTTTTTTTTTTTCCAGTGGGAGGAGAGGGAAACACTTCTATAAACTCCAGGTTGGCAGAGGAGACAGAGCAGCCTGACCTAACCCTGCTTTTGTGGCCTGGGGAATGCAGTTGGTTGTGGCCCAGCAGGTTTTTCCACACACAGTGAATGGCTGAACGGAGCAGGAAGGGAAACGTGTAGCCCAGAGCTACGGTTGCTGCTGGCTCAGGGATTCTCCCCAGGGCAGGCACGCTGCAGGGATTAAGTGGCTTTGGTGCATCAGAGAGCCCCCTGGGACGTCCCGAGCCTGGCGTGAAGCACCCTGGGGCTGCTGGATGCAGAGAACAGGGCAGTTGGGGGCAGGGAGGGCATGATTCCTGCCCCGCACCCTCCTTGCCGGGCCGGGGGCGGGGGGGGGGGGCGGGAGGACGGGACAGCACGGACAGGCTCCGCCTGCCTGCTTTTTAGTACACTCAGTCCTTTCTTCAGTTTATACCATTAATGCTGTTCTCTGTATTGGCTCTTTAATGAGATTATCTGCTCCCTGCTCGTTAAGTCACTGTCTTGGCCTGAATTAGCTCTATTGTGGAGATGACCTTTTGACTCGTGAGCAGCGGCTGGCAGAGCCGCAGGGCTCGCTGGGCTCTGCGAGACAGCAGGTCTGACCATCGCCTCCCCCGCCTCACCTCAGGTAGGTCCCAGCGCTGTCCCTGTCCCCCATCCCCAGGCCCAGCAGACCCCTGTGCCTTCCTTGCACCCCACAGCGCCTCTGCTGCTCAGCCCTGGGCTGTGCCACCCCCCTGCCCTGCAGCATCCGCAACGCTCGGGCATCCGGACATCAGAGGCGATCAAAGAGAAACCCACGCTGGGTGCAGACAGGAGCAAGGGAGGCAGAGGGCACTGATGTGGGGCTCCTGCACCGCGGCTGCTCCAGCCACCCCAGCCCCGTGGCCAAGGCTCTGACTCGAATGAGAGGAAAGCGCCCCGGGGAGGGAGAGGTGGAAGGAAGAGATGTGCAGCCCTTCCTGGCAGCTGCTCAAGTGGCCGAGAGCCGGCAGGAGCTGAGCTGCTCGCCTGTGCCGGTGGGAACACCTGCGTCACTCACTGCCTGTCCACACCACTGTTACAGATCAGCCCCCTGGCACAGCTCTCTGCCTCCCTACTCTGTGCACACTTGGGGTTTTTTCCTACCCCGTCTTTGGGTGCCATTCTGCAGACCCTGGAAGAGTACACGAGTCCCACAGGACCAAGAGGAGCTCCAATCTCTGCTGTCTGGGCTGCCGGGCTCCTCTTTCCAGGCAGAAAAACCAGATTTTGTAACAGGTAGCAAACACCCACAGCCGGGAAGCCTGTTAGCACTGACCACAGGGCTGGTGACAGATCTGCGAGAAGGTGACAAGGGGAGGGAGGAGGAAAGGCTTCACACAGCCAGAGGGGAACAGCAGTTCCCCCAGCCCCAGCCTCCCTGGTGGCACAAGTGCCAGGGTCTGTACCCTCGGAGAGCGGCCAGTGGACTCACCACAGAGTGATGGAAGAGCAGCTCCCAGGACTGGTGAAGTTTCTGATTGCACAACATGTCCACAAAGTCTTCAAGGAAATAACCTGGGAACAGAGAGGCCATGAGCAAAGAAGCGGGGCCAGGAAGGGCTGTGCTAAGGGATCTCCCTCCAGCAGGCTCTGCACCTGACTGGGCTGAGCAGCCCCTCCGGGGAAGTGATGGCCACAGCTTAGCCCAAGCCCTGGGTGGGTGGCGAGTCACGCGCAGAGCAGGATCACACGCAGCAGAAGGGAATTGCTGTGTTTTGGGTCCCTCCTGCAATCGCTCTGTAGGACGTGGTCCTAGGGACAGGCACTAACTGACTGATCACTTGGATCTGTTCCCGGAGAAGTGTGAGAGTGAAGGCAGCACGCGGACCCTCAACCTGTTACCGTCCCGGGATCGGATCCCACCCCACGTCCTTTCAGCCTGGAGCCCTCAACAGCTGCAGGATTCGCTGCCACCAGACCAACCCCACATCGGTATTTTAGATACTCAAACCTCCTTGCTGAGCTGTAGCCATGCCGGGAAGCCTGTTAGCACTGACCACAGGGCTGGTGACAGATCTGCAAGAAGGTGACAAGGGGAGGGAGGGGGAAAGGCTTCACACAGTCAGAGGACTCAAAGCTCCTGGCCTCCACACTGGCAGGTTTAGCTCGAGGCTTTGGGGGGGTCTGCATCGACCCCCTATCCTGGGCACTTTTGGGGTGCTCCCAGCCCCGGCT